TTCATCTGTGAAACAAGGAAAGACTCTGAATTATTTTAACAGGGATTGAAGCATAATCTAGGTCAGGGCTCCTCATTCCCTGGGCCGCGGCCAACTACCGGGCTTTGAGCAATTTGGAACTGGACTGAAGTGGTGGGTGAGCGCACATAAGCACATGTATCTCCACTTGTGTGAGCAGTGGGCAAGTGCACCCCTGCTAAATTTGCATGAGTGCCCACCACTCGTGCAAATGGAGCTGTGAGTGCACACTTGCCTGCCACTCGTGCGAAAGCATCCCTGTCTCCCCTCTTCCCCAGAGGCTGGGAAACTCTGATCTATGTACAATATGGATTTAAATGTTAAAACTAATAGCAAACAATCCAAAAATATGTTGTGAGACGTGTGCAGTGTTAATATAAAGTAAATTCTGATTCTCATGTATTCATATTAAGAAAGCTGTTAAATTGGAGAATAGGGCATCCCATTTATAAATAATGGAAAATGATACAAATGACATTTTGCTTCATTTGAGAAATGACAATGCAAATACCACAAATCACAGTGAATGTTTGGACAGTACATGTGAGGTTTTTGTATCAAGGTCTGATAAAATGATGTTTCACTGTACTATTTCAGGATCATTTGATAATCTAGAAATAATGAAGTTGCGGCCTTCCAGATGCCCCTGATCTCGTAGCAGCACATGGCCAATGGTGAGACATACTGAGAATTATCATCTAGCATCAGGTTTTACAATTTCTTTTGATGGATTGATTATATGTCATCAAGTCCCAGCATACTTCAATTTCCTTCATTCGATATTTTATCAGGATGCCAATGGCATCACTAAAAGCTTAAACCTCAGCATTAGATTCCATCATGTTGAAAGCAAACTCAATCTTATAACGTCAGCTAGGAGAGCTCTTCCAACTTGATCTACAGCTTTTTAGCCCATGCAAACTATAGCCAAGAACCAGTTTGGTGTAGTGGTTATGGCACTGGATTAGAATCTAGGAGATCATAATTCTAATCCTGATTTAGGCATGAAAACTGACTGGGTGACTTTGGCCAGTCTCTCCTACTCAGTGCATTTCCCTCATAGGCTTTCTATTATGGAAAAAATAGGCAGTGGGAGCAGTATGAACATCACCTTGAGCTGTACAAAATAAAGCCAGGATATAAATCTAATAATAAATACAATGAAAATAGTAAGGCAGTGTTATAATTGGAATATTTTATAAATCTTTCCAAACATGATCCCAATTCAGCAGATGTAGTACAAATCATTGTGGAATACTACAGCTCATACTCATATTCAGAATTATAATAATTATTTCTAAATATGTCCTCCATGCTTCAAAACAATAAATAACCCAATGGCACTTTCAAAGGGAAGAAGTTTCCAAACAATTTCTAAATATTTCATTCACATTTTCCAACACAAGAAGAGGGCATGGATTGGAAAATTATTTGATTGGAAAGTTTATTTTATATTTCAGAAATGGAAAGCTAGGGTCATTGCTGTGATTGTAAAATTTAAAATCAGCAGCTACAGTTCTGTGTCTTTTTATTTGTTAAGTCTGGGGACATATTTGAACAATGAACACACAAGTTTAGAATAATAAATCATTAATTACAGCTAAAGAATAATAAATCAATAATAAATCACTTCCCTCCATACTCTGAAATGCAGATGAGTATATTCATGCCAGGTCTTAAAGATTGCACTATGTTTTTCACTTTAGCTACAGACTGGCTAATAGGCATTAAGGTTCCTGATGCTTTATAATTGTATCTATTAGTCAGCATCTTGCTATTTCTTTCAAACCATTTGTTCGAACTGAAACATTAAATTGGTACATTAATCATTCCTTTTACATAGGAAACCCTGGAAAAGTCAGCTTTCTGAAGAAGCAGTATTTCCCTCAACACTCTCTTTGTAGCTTCTTTCCAAGGACTTTTTTTTAAAGGAAGCCAAAACCAATAAAACTGACACAGGCTCGAGATGTGGATATACAGGACCCCCTTAACTGACAAAGCAAAATTATCCTTTGTCCTTGCATTTTTCCAAGCTAGAGTAAGAAAAGTAGTATTAGATGATGTAAAAATCACACAATTTCATTTCCCAGACAAGACTGGTTTCATTCAAAGGCCCTCCTTTCCTTATGCAGGAATGAAAGCAGACCAGCAGTATGTTGAAAAACCTAACATCAACAGATTTTGGATCACTGAGCTGCCTATGTTGCAGAGAATGTTGATCTTGCCTTGCTTCATAGATTTCATGCATCAGCTCAATGACATGGCCTATCTTCCACAGACTAGTCTCTGGGATCAGGTGCACGATTAATTAATAACAAATTATAGGAGGGATTCTGTTAAGCAGTGGCAGCACTTCCAGTTCTGTTTGAACAGTCAGAACAAATGTTGGCAGGATCATATACAACAAAGATAAAAGCTGGCACCTGTTGCTTTCAGATAGTAAACTGCTAATTTGATGCATGGAATTACTGTACCAGAAAGACAAGTCCCTCAGTTTTGACATACATGCCTTACCTCTGTGGTGCAAAAAGATATCCCTCAATACACACGTAACCTCAATTCACTGCCAGACCTCTATGAGATGCATCCTAAACACACATGTGAACTATTTAACAGGCTTTTAGAAAAAATATTCACAGCAAAATGAATTGATCCTAAGTAGCAGGAGAAGGAAGAACCAGTAAGGAATCTGTGGCCTTGTCTGTGTGTACCTTCAAGTCAACTTTCATCTCCTGGTGACTGCCTGGACAAGTCCCTGGAGTTTTCTTGCTAAGATTTTCAGAAGTGCTTTGCCATTCCTTCCCTCTTAGGGCTGAGAGAGAGTAACTGGCCCAATATCATCCATTTGGCTTTGTGTCTAAGAAGGAACAATCCCCTGGTTTCTACCCTGGTGTCTTAACCACTATAAACATACAAACACACACAGACACACACACACACACTGCCTTCGTTATTCCTTTTAGGATTGTAACCTAGTTCTGAATGGGCCTAAGAATCTAGGGTAGCCTGTTAAGCTAGCCATACATCTCCAAATTTTCCTCACAATAAAATTCAGCGAATCAATTTTTAATCTACGAATGACAAAAGATATACCATTCTATTACCAGAAGGACCTTTGAACTAGAAGAGGATTACATTTGTCATTCCTGCAAGTTGTGTCAAAATAATCAAGACAGTGTCTACAATGATGTGATAGAAATGTTACATGTTTGTTTGTGTGTGTGTTGTACATGCATCACACATAAGAAACAGATAGAGCTTCTATTGTACAACTGAACGACTGACTTTTTTTGTCACATCTTGTAGATACCCCTGGAATTACTTGATTCCCCATCCACTGGTAAACTCCTACATGCTTGTCAGAGTTCTCAGATCAATGTGGAAGATTTTTAGGTGGCTCTTGCAAAAATTCTCCTTGGAAATTAAGCCAGTATACCTTAAATTTGTGCGTGGATGGGTGGGGTACATACAATTAAAAGACACAAAAAGAAGCCTGCTATCCAGAGGGTTGGATGCTGTAATTTGGTTCTTTTTTATTTGTTTAGCAGCTAAAGAAGTCTTCTTTACGTTTTCTCATGACAACCTGTGACATGACCCTGTATTTATAATGCACACAAGTCACAATGGACATATGTTTCTTTCTATTTACAGAAAAAAACCAAATTTTGTTGCATTTCACATAGGATAAAATGTCCAAAACTTTCCTGTTTAAAAAGATTTCAATACTATTCATTTTCACACCAAACAACAACAAAGTATTTTTGTCTTTCTCAGACACAAAAGCAAAGGATCTACTAGCTTGCCAGTTTGGGAACAGATCCTTTATCATCAGCCTAAGCATATGGTAGAAAAAGATGTAGAAAAATGTGCAGAATTCATATTTATTTTTAAAAAGATTTCTCAGACTCAACAGCCCATCATAACCAATTCCACCTCTATAGGGTTCAATCAAAGGAAACATGAACCAAAATCACAAAACTATAACAAACACAGCTAGTGTATCGTAAACAACTGATCTAAGTGGGGAGGCATTTTGTATTAATAAGATACAATGAAATATAATGTTATATATTTAATACTTAATAATATTTGAAATAACAATAATACAGAATGCTGAAAATGTTGCTCATCACTGATGAGGACATATTTGTATGAAAAACCCAATCAAACCCCACTTAACTTTTCCAATTCATAGAAAAAATAAATCTAAGCAGAAACCAATGAGAAAGCCAATTTTTTTCATAACTTTTCCAAACTGGAATCTTGATCTTTCCAAGCAAACCAGACTCTGTACGGGAATGATGAAATTAATTTCTATTTCTTTGGTTTACTAGGGAAATGAATTTTTTGATTCAAAAGGAAGCTATTGCTTTCATTTCCATTTCTGGTGAGTTTCATTGTTCTTGCAAGTAAAGGCAATCTGACAACCTTTATCAATATTAATCTTCAATACTAATAATAAATGGGATGCTTAGCAATTCTGGATTATCATAATACTATGCTGTTGTTCTATGCTTCGTCTGTATAAAGATTCATGAAAGCCAAATTATGCTAATCAAATTATCTTGAAAGTTTTGTTGAGTTCAAAAGAATGTACTTAGGAATTAAATTGTACATCATAAAAGTAAATATTTCTGACTTCATAATACATCAAGATGTCTTTGACGTCATGAACATTCTGACTTATTACCTTGCTGATTATAACTGCTCCTATTATATTGAAGGAAGCATACCATAAATTCTAAATAGTGTCATATATACTAAAAATATATAGAAAAAAGTCTGATGTGACAAACTTCAAAAGTCTGATTGACAGTACAGACTACCTCTATAATGTCTTGAAATAAAATATATTTTTCCCAATTAAGAAACACTTTTCAGGGGATGTAATACTTATTATAATATATTAAATGAATTATATGGATAGCTTTCAATTGATATAAATAGGCACCATAAACAAATTCTAAAGTATTTGTTCCTACCTTTGCAGCCACTGATGAATTGGGCTTTTCCAACAAGTCCCAGAGTTTTTTCCTTTTCTCTGGGCAGCAAGCATTATCAAATTCTTCACCATCTCTTTCTCTCATTGTTTCTGCTTCTCTCCTTAATTCTTCATTCATTTGCTCTTTCTTCTGATGATACCTTGCCTGGCAACAGGACTCTAAATATATTTCATCAATCCCCCAGTAATCTAATTCTTGGCCAAAAGAGAGAGCACACATTTCCTCCATCATATGTAACTTTCCTGTCCTGTAGAAATTCAGGATAGAGGTGAAAGCACCTGGGTGTCTATCAAAGAAATATTCATTCTCATTAAGATTATAGTCATCACATACTTCTAGTAAAGAGTCATTAGTATTGCAGTCTCTGAGCTTCCCTAAACGTGTCCGTGGAAGTCTATCTAACGTCCTCCATAGAACTTCATGATTGAGTCCACCTACATTGATTCTCACTCTCCTAGAACATGCTTTGCTTCTGATTATGTCCACTGGTTCTGGTGGAAGAGACTGTGTAGACCTGGATGTATTTTTGTTCATACCTGGAGCCTTTTCGGCCATCCTGATAAGGAAGTGGCAACAAAGCCAGAGTTTTTAAGAGAATTAAAATGGACTGATACGGTAAATTAGGTTCTTCTTAGATAAGTTCTTCCATCTCTGAAGCTGAAAAGGTGAGAAAAAGGCACATTTTAGTACAGCAAAATAGCAACTCTCAATGCTATAATAAATAAAGATTTTAACCAGGAGCATTCATTTCTTATAATACTCTTATAGGATCATGTAATATTATATTGACTACATGTATTGTTAAGAAAAAGAGAAAGCAACTTTTGCAATGCTGAAAAAAAATTGAAAAATTAGTTCCCCAAAATGCTATTATGGAATGCTATTATGGAAGAATGATTAGGTAGAAATGCAAACATACTGCATACTTAACAATAATTTGCTGAAGGAGATTTAGGAGAAATTATCTTTTTATAGATAATTTTTCATCTATATTAAACAAAATTGTTCCTATTTAAGGAAGCCCTTACCACTTGGTTATCCCTAGACCCTGGATCAGAGTGGATGATGTGAAGTTCTGGTTTGGATGTGTGATTATAATTTTTTTTCCCCTTAGACTTTCTTTTTTTGATATCGTCTGTGTTTCTACTGTGTTTTTCTTACTGTATTTTGTAACATTGCAACACATTGGGGAAACCTATAATTCTCATAAATAAAGAAATGAACAGCAATACTTTATTTAACATGTAAAGCTTTTTTTGTTTTGATATTATGAGAAGAAATCATTTCCATTTCTCTAAGAATTAGTAAAGACTGACCTCCATCAATCAATGATGAGTGTAAGAAAATGACTTTAATCACATTTATTTTCAGATAAAACAACTATTCATTCAATGTGAATGGACAGATGAAGACATAAAAAGTCATGATAAAACTCAGCTACGTTTTTGCTGTGAACCTTCAGTTGCAAATATCAGTAGCTGTTTTATTCTTCCTTATAGTCTTTGCAATGTTGTAGAACACAAAGGTCCATCCTGCCTTCTGTGAAACATCTTGAATTTTCTAACAAAAAGGAAGAAAAAAATGTCTAAAACATTTAACTATACATAGAACTTAATTCTTTACATTGATCTTCACTTGACATCTTGTAAAATAAATGTCATATCAGTACAATAGTTTTCTCAACTTTAATCTTGCTTTCCTTTGAAGGAGCTGTCATTTTCCAGAAGGCATGAATATTATAGAATATAGATCATGGAACCTGGATTTTTCCACATGTCTTTTGTAAAAGTTTACATCATTGGAAGCAGCATGGGTAACAGGAGCTCCACCTAACCTATCTGAAGAACTTCAATTTGCAAAAAGTTGCTATAGACATGCTAGTCAACTTATGTATGTCCAGAAGGTCTATGTTCTGCACCTGGAAATTCTGAAAGGAGAATAATAATTATGTAAAAGATTTGGGAAATGCTTACCACTGTGACCCTACCATTCTGCGTTGCTTTGCTAATCTTTCAGATTTGTTTATTTCTTATTTGCAGTCCCTTTTCTACCCTACAATATGATTAAATCAAGAAAGAGTAAACTTCAAATGAGGGTTGGAGTCAAAGAAAGGTATTCAGTAAATTTCTATGTTGCTATTTCACCAAAAGCTTATTGTTTTCACTCTTTAAAATGCTACTTTAAAGGAAATCAGCATTGATTTTGGGTATTGGCACTGTTCTTGTGGGTTCCTATGATGTCCTTCACTTCCAGCACTCTTCTTATGCTGAGACAATTGCAGAAATTAATTGATTAACTGAGGCTACAGAAAAAACTCACACTAAACATGGTTCTGTTATGTTTCCTCTGGAATCCCACGGTGGGAAATCCTGACTGTCTTGCTTCCCATCTTTTGAGATTTTTCTTCCCTTCTAAAGCAGGAGTGCCAGGGGGTCTTGCCATCAATTCCCAATACTACAACCTTAGTTCTTCCATAGTGTCTAGTTACTAGGAGTTGTTCTTTTTCACTTCTTTCTTGCCACCATTAAAAAATAAACACAGAAAAAAGAACAAAGGAGAGTGAGGCATCAATTTATTTTAGTTCTACTCCAAAGGCCAGGTGAGGAGGAGTTCCAGGTGGCTGGTGGAAGGGGGCACATAGGTCTTTTGAAGTGTAGAAATGAGCCCTGTGAAAATGTTGCTGATAGCTTAAGAGGTAAAACCACAAATTATTTAGAATTAATATTTATATTCATTTATACATGTCATTGTAGACATACTATATATAAATGTAAAATATGTTGAAATGTGGAGATTTCTTTTTAAATGGATTTCAATTCTTTTATTTATTTTATTTGGTTTGTCAATTGCTTACAAGATAACAGGTATAAGTAAAAACATAGTTATGAATACATGGATACATATAAGAAAAATAAAAGAAACAATAGGACAGGGACTGTAGGCACGTTGGTGTGCTTATGCACGCCCCCAACAGACCTCTTAGGAAACGGGTGAGGTCAATAGTAAAAAGTCTAAGGTTAAAGTTTTTGGGGTTTGGGGAAGAAACCACAGAGTCAGGTAGAGTATTCTAGACATTGACCACTCTGTTGCTGAAGTCGTATTTCCTGCAAACATTCCATGCATTTAAATGGCTTCTCTCCTGTGTGGAGCTTTTTGTGTCTTCTAAGTCCACTGCTATGAGTAAATGTCTTTCCACACTCCATGCATTTATATGGCTTCTTCCTTGGGTGGATCATTTTGTGGCTTCTAAGGCTCCTGCCTCAAGCAAAGGTCTTTCCACACTCCATGCATTTACATACTGTGTGTGTGTGTGTGTGTGTGTGTATGTATGTATGGTATTCAGCTCTGTTCGGGTATTTTCCCATGTCATTATAGTTGTGCTTTTAAAGTTGTAGCAACTATAATGACGTGGGAAAATACCCGAACAGAGCTGAATATCATACATATAAATACCCGCGAAAACTTAAGAAAACATATATATATGCCGAAAAGTTGCTACAACTTTAAAAGCACAACTACAATGACGTGGGAAAATACCCGAACAAAGCTGAATACCATACATACCATACCATACCACAAAAACTTAAGAAAACAAATATCTATATCTATATCTATATCTATATCTATATCTATATCATCTATATCTATCTGTCTGTCTGTCTGTCTGTCTGTCTATCTATCTATCTATCTATCTATCTATCTATCTATCTATCTATCTATCTATTTGTTTGTTTTCTGAGGTTTTCACGGGTATTTGTATGTAGATCTTTGGTTATTCGGGTTTTCTCCTGCGTAAAATTGGAAGTATCTAGGTGACGTTTCGATGAAGTCTCATTCATCATCTTCAGGCTTCTGTCTTCGGCTTTGTGCTTCTCGGAGTAATGTGAGCTTGCAGCTGCTTCTTCCTTTTAACTGCTATTGGGGGTGTGACTTGATTGGATGGGGGCTTGGCTGTGTTCTGATTGTTTGGGGGGTTGGCTGTGTTCAACTTTAAAAGCACAACTATAATGTTGTGGGAAAATACCCGAACAAAGCTGAATACCATACATGTAAGTACCCACGAAAACTTAAGAAAACAAATATCAGACCTCTGCGGGGAGGAAATAAACAGCCAGACCAAAACCTATGAGAAGCTAGAAGTTAAAAGAGCAGCAATACTATGTGACCTCAAATTCCTACGCAGCTGCAGAGACAACAATGCAACGCCAACCTGCTTCAAATTAACATTTCATCACAGCACAGCAGCTACTAAACGTATCCTGAAAAGAACTTAAATGGCTCTACTCAGGAATGAGCTCCACAGAAAGAGATTCCAATTGGATCAGTTAAACAAAGATTTGCTAGCACTACACCTGGAATTGAGCAGCAAAATCCACCCTCTACTTTGGGACAAGATAAAACAACTTACAACTTGGAGAGCTGAAACTGAAACCACTTACAAAAATGACAAACTCTTGAAGAAACTAAAGAAATTAGAACATGACAAGAAAGCCCCCAACAACTCACAACAACACCTGAAACAATTAGTATATAACGTTTCCAACAGAGAACTTACCAAAACAGAAACAGATGTCCTAACCAAAGGATTCAATTATGCTATAGCACCCAAAAAAATCCCCACAGAATCCATCATATGTGCAGTAGAATCCAGCCTAACTAAACTAAATACAGATGAAGCTGATAGAATAAGACACCAAGTTACTAACATCCTATGCACAAGCAAACCACCCAAAAGCAACTTGCACAAAGAAGAACTAAAAGCGCTGCAAGCCCTAAAAAAGGATAGCAGCATAATCACATTTCCAGCAGACAAAGGGAATGCCACAGTAGTAATGGATAGAAAAGACTACGAAACAAAATTGACAGACCTACTCCAAGACTCCACATACAAACCCATAAACACAGACCCAACCACATATCTGGAAAAATTAACCAAGAAGAAAATTATAACCAGCCACATGAGCAAAGAGATCCAACAGACGATCATCCCAAGAGAAAAATCTTCCAGATGCCCCAAACTATACGGCCTCCCAAAAATACACAAAGAAGGCATACCTCTCAGACCCATAGTCAGCTCCAGAGGAGCACCACTACAAAACCTAGCTAAACACTTAGCAAAACAGCTACAGCCCCATGCTGAAACAGCAGCTTCACATGTACAAAACTCATACCACTTCTTGGAAATGATCAAAGATCTACACGTGGAACAAGAAGATCTGCTTGTAAGTTTCGATGTGGTTTCACTATTCACTCAAGTCCCGATAAAAGAAACTCTTGAAATCATCAAAAATAAATACCAACCAGCTAAACACCTCATGGAACTAACAGAACACTGCTTAACCAACACATATTTCATATACAAAGGACAAAGATACAAGCAAATTGAAGGAGCCCCTATGGGATCACCACTGTCACCCGTCATTGCAAACCTGTTCATGGAAGAATTTGAATCCACAGCCCTGGCTAATGCCACCCACAAACCCAAACTATGGTTAAGATACATCGATGACACATTTGTGATTTGGCCCCATGGAAAAGAAAACCTAAACAATTTCCTAACACACCTAAACAGCACACACCCCAAAATCAAGTTCACCATGGAAATGGAAACAAACAAACAACTACCATTCCTAGATGTACTAATCTACAAAAAAACA